AGGTGTTTTTTGTTTTTTTTTTTTTAATTTTTTTTTTTCAAAGTTTATTTATTTTTGGGACAGAGAGAGACAGAGCATGAACGGGGGAGGGGCAGAGAGAGAGGGAGACACAGAATCGGAAACAGGCTCCAGGCTCTGAGCCATCAGCCCAGAGCCCGACGCGGGGCTCGAACTCACGGACCGCGAGATCGTGACCTGGTTGAAGTCGGACGCTTAACCGACTGCGCCACCCAGGCGCCCCTCAAAGGTGTTTTTTTTAAAACTAGAAACACATCGTCACAGCCCTCCTACAGCACTTACAAGACACTATTCACCATTCTCCACTCTTCAGGGACCTTGTCCAATAAGTATAAGCTGAGGTAAACCTGAACAGTTCAGGGCACAAGAACTACATTAACTGAAAAAGAACAAGAGGGAGTTGAAAGGAAATAAGACTCTATCAGCCTTTGGCACTGATAGATATGGGACCACTTTAAAATGATAACATGAATAGGGAAAAGGGGTAAATATGGATATAAAATTCTTTGTGCATCTCTGTATTCTCTGCCTTACTTGTAAAAAGAATAATTCTTAGGCACTTCCAATACTTAGGCAAATCAAGGCAACAAAGGGCCATACCTCATTTCTAGCTTTTGGACGATCAAAAAGAATTTTCAGTGCAAACCGTTCTTGAGTAGATTTCTTCACACAGACTCTAGATTTGGAGGAAAAAAATTCAATCAGAAATCATCTATTAACAGTGAAAACTAATTTAACAAGTTCTTTTAGAACTGTACTTTTTTTTAATGTTTACTTATTTATTTTGAGAGAAAGAGAGCACGAGCAGGGGATAGGCAGAGAGAGAGGGAGAAAGAGAATCCCAAGCAGGCTCCACGCTGCCAGCACAGAGCCCAACACAGGGCTCAATCTCACAAAACATAAGATCATGACCTGAGCCGAAATCAAGAGTCAGACACCTAACTGACTGAGCCACTTGGGTGCCCCCTTAGAATTGTACTTCTAATCAAGAATATATCCAGATGCATCCAAATAAACTTGCCCCTAGGGCTAGCAGGTGCAGAGGCAGAAAAGCCATCTCACCCACCCTGCACAAGCCTCAGCTCCCGCGCCATGTGAAAGCAACCTGAGGATGGCCAAGGAAGGAATAATGGCCTCTGCTGGCTATAGGCGACTCTCAAGAGTAGCTCCGCAACCTCAGTATCTTAAATGATTCTACATTACACACCATGTGGCTCAATTAGATTTCTAAATGGATGAGAAAAAGCCTAACATAAATACCTCCACTTGTTAAAGTTATTTCACAAATGTGGCACACTTGCTGTTTCTAATGGCCAATGTAGGTCAAATGGCCTTCCTCAGAGCAACTTTGCCATAGTTTGCATGTGGGTCTCTTACCTAACTGGACCACTAATTCCAGCTCCCAGCTTCTGAGTCCAATTGATATTGTATTCCTCTAAAATGGAGGTTTCCTATTAAAATAGAAAAGGGTGGGGGCAGAAAGTGATTCTCCAATTAAAAAGCTGAAAATTAAGCAGGGTGGACAACAGAAAACCTTATCACTCAACACCTCATCTTCTAAGAGAAACCGATAAGCAGAGCTTTGCATTCTTTTGGTTTTATAATTAGGTATTTTGTCTAAATGACTAAGTTAGGCACTGTTTTCCAGCAAAAGAGAAAGCAAACACATTAGGAGGAGAAGAAATTCTTCAGCTCATCTACAAGGTCCATTTGAGTAGATACTCAATGTTTTTTGGGGGGAGTGTGAAAGGAAGACATTCTTTCAAAATACTTCACTACTAAATATCACTTGCTAAAATGGTCAGGTACCTTTTCTGAGGTTCCAGAAAGACTGGTCTGATATATGCTTCCATGACCAGTGGCCTATGCTCTTGAACAAGTTGGTCAAATTGTTGGAATAACAGTAAATTGTTATCTATTGAATAAATTGAGACTTAAAAGTTCAAATAAGGTAGTAGTGAGTAGTAAATTGATCTAATTTTCAATGGCATCATTTTGAATATAAAGATATTGTCATATTCATTGGGTAACTATATTTTTTTATAGTTTTCACTTGTTTTATTATACTTTTAATAGTTTTCAGTGGTTCCAGACATAGCCTCTATAGTTTTTATGGAATTCCTGTCTAATCACTCTATGTTAAGCTTCTATTGCCATATGCTCAGGCAAGAAAGCCACATATTAAAGTTGTGGTAGGCTAAAATTCATTTTTTAGGGTTCCAAAGGAAGAAAGGGAAACCAAATTCAGACCTTGAGAAATTGGGCTAAAACTCATGAGACATTCAAATTGTTTTGTTGCAATGAAAATCTAACAGACTCCCAATTCCCAGTATATGGGAACAGAATATCTGTCCATGTAACACACATTCATTGAGCAGTTGATATGTGCCAGACATTAGGCTAAGTTCAGAGATGAAAATAGAGCTTCTGCCCAATTAATATGCAAGCATATAAAATAAGATTAGAATAGCCATCACCTCCACACGTCTTTGCGGCCCAGTTTTTTTTTTTTCTGCTCAGACTTTTTTTTTTTTTTTGATTACTAGTGAAGTAAAACTTTTATTTTTTTTTATTTTTTATAATATAATTTATTGTCAAACTGGTTTCCATACAACACCCAGTACTCATCCCAACAAGTGCCCTCCTCAATGCCCATCACCCACTTTCCCTTCTCCCCAGAGCCCCCACCAACCCTCTGTTCTCAGTATCCAAGAGTCTCTTATGGTTTGCCTCCCTCCCTCTCTGTAAATTTTTTTCCCCCTTCCCCTCCCTCATGGTCTTCTGTTAAGTTTCTGAAGATCTATATATGAGTGAAAACATATGGTATCTATCTTTCTCTGACTGACTTATTTCACTTAGCCTAATACCCTCCAGTTCCATTCACGTTGCTGCAAATGGCCAGATTTCATTCTTTCTCATTGCCAAGTAGTATTCCATTGTGTATATAAACCACATCTTCTTTATCCATTCGTCAGTTAATGGGACATTTAGGCTCTTCAACAAATTGTGCTGGGAAAACTGGGTATCCACATGCAAAAGAACAAAGTTGGACCCTTAACCCCATATACCAAAACTCAAAATAGATCAAAGAGCTTAATGTAAGACCTAAGAAAATAAAACTCTTAGGACACGAGTTTCATAACATCGTCTTTGGCAATGATTCCTTGGATAGGACATCAAAGGAACAGGCAACAAAAGAAAAACTAGACAAGATGACTATGAAAATTGAAAAATTTTGTGTATCAAAAAACACTATTAATAGAGTAAAAAGGCAACCCACATAATAGGAGAAAATATTTGCAGATCAAGTGTGTGATAAGGGATTACTATCCAGAATATAGAGAACACCTAAAACTCAACAAAAAAAACCAAACAACCTGATTCAAAAAATGGGCAAAGAATTTGAATAGACATTTTCCCAAAGACATAAAAACAGCCAATAAACACATGAAAAGATGCTCAGCATCACTAATCATGAAGAAAACGCAAATCAAAATTCAATCAGATACAACCTCACACCCATTAGGATAGCTACTATCAAAAAGAAAAAAAGGCAAAAAACAAAACACAAAAACAGAAAATAACAAGTATTGGCAAAGATATGGAGAAACTGGAACCCTTATGCACTACTGATGGGAATGTACAATGGTACAACTACTGTGGAAAACAGTATGGTAGCTCCTCAAAAAAATTAAAACTAGAATTCCCATATGATCCAGCAAGTCAACTTCTGGGTATATACTCAAAAGAAATGAAAACAAGATCTTCAAGAGGTATTTGTACATCTATGTTTATAACAGTACTATTCACAATAGCTAAAATATGGAAGGGACCTAAATGTCCATATACATACAATGGAATATCATTCAGCCTTAAAAAGTAAAAGAAAAGAAAGTCAGTAATATGCTACAATATGATAAACCTTGAAAATATTATGCTAAGAGAAATAAGTCAGTCACAAAAAGACAAATACTTTATGATTCCATTTTTCTGAGGTGCTCAGAGTAGTCAATATTATAGACAGAAAGTAGATGGATAGTTGGTAGAGTCTGGGGGGGAAGGAGACAGTTTCAGTTTTACAAGAGCAAAAGAATTATGGGGATGGATGGTGATGATAGCTGCACATTAGAATTGTATTTAATGCCAGTGAAGTGCACCTTAAAAATGGTTAAGATGGTAAATTTTATGTCTAATTTTATCACGATTTTTTAAATGGGGAAAAAAGTAAAAGGATGGAAAAAGATATACCATGAGTAACTACAAGAGAGCTGAAGTAGCTATACAGACAATAGACAAAATAGACTTTAAAACAAAAGATGTTGTGACAGTATGGTTTGCTAAGTGAAATAAGTTAGGCAGAGAGAGACAAATTCTCATGATTTCACTCATATGTGGAATTTAGGAAACACAACAGATAAAACACAGGGGAAGGGGAGGAAAAATAAGATAAAAACAGAGAAGGAGGCAAACCATAAGAGACTCTTAAGTACAGAGATCAAACTGAGGGTTGTTAGAGGGATGGTGGGTGGGGGATGAGATAAATGGGTAATGGGCATTAAGGAGGGCACTTGTTGGGTGTTATATGTAAGTGATGAATCACTGGGTTCTACTCCTAAAACCAATAGTACTCTGTATGTTAACCAACTTCAATTTAAATAGATAGATAGATAGATAGATAGATCAAAAGATGTTAATAAAGAAAGAGAAGCACTTTTTATAATGATGAAAAGGTCAATTCAGATAGGATGATTATAAACATATATGCAGGCACCTAACAGTAGAATCCAAAAATACATGAAGCACAAGTTGACAGAATATAAGAGGAAAATAGACAATTCAAAATAATAGTTGGAGATTCTAATACTGCCACTCTCAATAACAGAAAAGCTAGACAGAAAATCAGCAAGAAAAACTTGTAGTAGAAGATAACACTGTCAACCAATTTGACCTGACATCTACAGAACACAGCATTCTATTCTTCAGGATAAACCATATGCTAGATCATAAGTCTCCATAATTTTTTTTAAACTGAATAGATAAAGTTCTTCAACCACAATGGAATTAAGCTATAAATCAACAAGGAAATTTGGGAAATTTGAAAAATTCAAAAAAAATTTCAAAATTCAAAAAAGTTCAAAATTCACATAACACTTCTAAATAATCAATGGGTCAAAGAAGAAACAAGAAAAATTAGAAAAATTTTTTAAAAAATATTTTGATCTGAATGAAAATAAAAACAATACAGTAGTCTTCCCTTGTCTGTGGAGGATACATTCCAAGACTCCCAGGGGATACCTGAAACCACAGGACAGTACCAAATCCTAATGTTTTTCCTCTACATACCTATGATAAAATTTAATAATTTAGTTATAATGTATATAGCTTAACATTATACATTATAATTTATAAATTAGGCACAGTAAGAGACTAACAATAATTAATAATCAAATAAAACAATTATAACAATACACTGTAATAAAAGTCATGTTAACGTGCTCTCTCTCTCTCTCTCTCTTTTTCAGAAAATATCGTATTCTACCATACTCACCCTTCCTCTTGTTGTGATGATGTGAGATGATAAAGTGCCTGTATGATGAGATGAAGTAAGATGAATGACGGGAAGCGTTGTGACAAAGCATTAGGCTACTACTGACCTTCTGATGATTCAAAAGGGTTGTCTGCTTCCCGACCATGGTTGGCCACAGATAACTGAAACCATGGAAAGCAAAACCGTGGCTGTGAGGGGGCTGTATGTATGCTAAAATTTATTATGTGCAGCTAAAGTGGTGTTTAGATGGAAATTTACAGCTATAAATCTCTACATAAGAAAGATCACAAATCAATAACCTAAGCTTCTATTTTGAAAAACTAGCAGGAAAAAAATATATACTTGGGGTACCCGGATGGCTCAGTCTGTTGAACATCTGACTCGATATAGGCTCAGGTTGTGATCTCACAGTCATGGAATCAAGCCCCGTTGGGCTCTGCACTGAGTGGAGCCTGCTTGGGATTCTATTTCTTCCTTTCTCTCTCTGCCCCTCCCCCCACACACACTTTTTCACCCTCTCTCAAAATAAATAAACTTATATATATAGTCAAAACAAGCAAGCAGAAAGAAATAATAAAAATTAGAGCAGAAATCAATAAAACAGAAGACAGAAAATAGAGAAAAATCAATGAAAACCAATAGTTAATTCCTCAAGATATCAAAATTAACAAAACTTTATTTAGACTGAGAAGGAAAAAAACCCCACAAATGATTAATATTAGAAATGAAAGAGGAGGGGGTGCCTGGGTGGCTCAGTTGGTTGAGCGTTCGATCCCCACATCGGGCTCTGTGCTGACAGCTCAGAGCCTGCTTCGGATTCTGTGTCTCCCTCTCTCTCTGCCCCTCCCCTGCTCATGCTCTGTATCTCTCTCAAAAATAAACAAAAAAAATAATAAAAAAAAAAAAAGAAAAGAAATAGGAGACATCACAATCAACCTTACAGGAATCAAAGCATTATAAAGGATCACCATAAACAACTTTATGCCAGCAAATCAGACCACTAGATGAAATGGCCAAATTCCTAGAAAGACATAAATTACCAAAACTCACTCAAGAGGAGATAGAAAATCTGAATAAAACTATAACAAGAAACTGAATTAATAACAAAACAAAACAAAAAAGTCTTCCCACAAAGTAAAGGCTAGGCCCACATAGCTTCAGTGGTAAATTCTACCAAATCATTTAAAGCATGGTTTCTCAACCTCAGCATCACTGACATTATGAACCAATAGTTCTTTGTTGTGAGGTTGTCCTGTGCATTGCTAAGATGTTCAGGAGCATTCCTGGCCTCTACCTGCTAGATACTACAAGCATCCCCTACCCACACTAAACAACTAATGTCTCCAGACACTGCCAAATGCCTCACAAGAGGCAAAAACTGCCCCCTACTTAATGAAATGATATCAAGCCTCTGCACAAACTCTTCCAGAAAACAGAGGAGGATATAACTTCCCAAACTCATTCGGAAGCAAGTATTTCCCTCATACCAAAGCTAGACAAAGGCATCACAAGAAAACTATAGGCCTTTATCTCTCATGAATAAAAATGCAAAAATCCTCAGCAAAATTAGCAAAGTGAATACAGAAACATGTAAGAATAACTTTACATCAGACTAGGTGAGGTTTATACCAAGAATGCAAAATTGGTTTAATATCTGAAACTCAATTAATGTTACTCATTAACACACCATAGTAAGAATAAAGAACAAAAACTATATAATCAACTCAATAGGTGAAGAAAAAGAACTTAACAAAAATTCAACACCTAATCCTGATAAAAATTCTCAGCAAACAAGGAATAGAAGAAAACTCAATTGGACAAAGGATGTCTACAAAACCACTTACTTATCAGTAAGTCTTTAATGCTTTCCCCCTGAGATCAGGAACAAGGCAAGATGTCCACTTTTGCCACTTTCATTCAACACTGTACTTGAGGTTCTACCCACAGAATAAGGCAAGAAAACAAAATTAAGAGCATGCATCCTGTAAAGGAAGAAGTAAAACGGTATTTATTTGCTGAAGACATGATTTTTATATGTGGAAAATCCTAAAGAACCTACACACACACAAAAAAATCTAGAACTTAGCAAATGTGGTAAAGATGCAAAACACAATATCAAAATACAGAAATAAACTGCCTTTCTCTACACTAATGACAAACAATCCAAAAAATAAAATTTAACAATTCTTAACAGCATCATAAAGAATAAAATATTTAGGAATAAATTTGCTAAAAAGTATAAGATTTATACACTGAAAACTACAAATACATCACCAAGATAAATGGGAGAAGCCCTAATGAAATGGAGAGCTATACCATGTTCATGGATTAGAAGACAATATTGTTAAGATAGCAACTGTCCCCAAATTGACCTATAGATTCAGTGGAACCTCTATCAAAATCCCAGCACACGTTTTTGTAGAAATAAACAAGCTGATTCTAAAATTTATTTGGAAATACAAAGAACTTGAATAGCCAACTTAATTTTGAAAAAGAAAAATCAAATTGGCTCTCACACTACCCAATTTTGGAAATTTACTATAAAGCTTCAGTAATAAAGATGATACTGGTATGAGGACAGTCATATTGATCAATAGAACAAAACAGAGAATCCAGAAAAAAACTCACACACCATGATCAACTGATTCTCAAAAAAAGTACCAAAGTAATTCAATAGGCAAAAGACAGTGTTTTGAACAAACTGTCCTGGAACAACTGGATATCCATGTTAAAGACAAACAAACAAAACCTTAGACCCTTATGTAACACCAAAGACAAAAGTTAACTCCAAGTGGATATCAGATCTAAATAAATAACTAAAAACTATAAAACTTCTAGAAGGAAATATAGTTGAAAAAATCTTATAACCTGAACTAGACAAAGATTTCTTAGCTATGACACCATAAGCACAATCCATCAAAGAAAAGAAAAACAAAAAAGATACACTGGACTTCATCAAAGTTAAAACCATTAAAAAGTGAAAAGCCAAGACATATACTGGGAAAAAATATTTGCAGATCTATGTCTGATAAATCACTTTTATTCAGAGTTTATAAAGAACTCTTACAACTCAGTAATAAGACAAACAATTTAAAAATGGGCAAGGGGCTCTTGGGTGGTTCAGTCAGTTAAGCATCTGAATTCAGCTCAGGCCATGATCTCACAGCCCATGAGTTCAAGCCCCACATCAGGCTCTCTGCTGTCAGCACAGAGCCCACTTCAGATCCTCTGTCTCCCTCCCTCTATTCCTCCCCTGCTTGTGTGCTCTCACTCTCTCTCTCCCTCAAAAATAAACATTTAAAAAAATTAAAAATAAAATAAAAATGGGCAAAAGATTTTAATAGTTAAATAGGAAAAAAAAATACACGAATGGCAAACACGTGAAAAGATACTCAACAGCATTAGAATTAGGTTTTATTCAGAGTATATGAAGAACCCTTGCAACTCAATAATAAGACAAATAACCCAATTTAAAAATGGGCAAATGATTTGAATAGACATTTCACCAGAAAAGATACACAAATGGCAAATAAACACATGAAAAGTTGTTCAACAATATGAGTCATTAGGGAAATGCACATTAAAACCACAATCAGATACTACTACACAACCATTAGAATAGCTAAGACAGAAAGACTGACAATACCAAATATTTGTGAGGAGGGTAAAAACAAACAAACAAAAATGGCCCAAACCACTCAAATACTACCGGTGGGAATGAATATTGGTAAAGCTACTTTGGAAAAGTTTTGCAATTTCTTAAAAAGTTAAACATAAACCTACCATACGTAAAATTACCTAGTAATTCCATACCAAGGTATTTACCCAGAAGGAATTAAAACAAATGTTTACACAAAAACTTGCATGGGCAAGTTGTATTTATCATTTTGTTCATAATAGCTAAAATTCAAAAATAACCTAAATGCCCATCAACTGGGGATGAATAAACAATAAAGACTACTCAACAAGTAAAAAGAAATAAACTCAACGCATGCACTAACATGGATGAACCTTATTAAGTATTTTAAGAAGCCAAACACATAACACTACATATTATATACAATTTCATTAATTTGGAATTTCTCAAGACAAAACAAGTGACAGAAAACAGATCAATGATCATCTGGAGTGGCAAGTGGGAGTAGAGTAGGACTACAGAGAGGCAAAAAGAACTTTCTAGGGGGGGATAGAAATACTCTAAAACTGGATTGTGATGACAGTTGCACAACTCTGTAAGTTTATTAACAATTCTTCAAGTATATACTTACACTGAGTTAATTTTATGGTATGTAAATTATACTGAAATTTTAAAAAACATTTTTAAAACTAAGGAAATGAATTTTCACTAGTTCATCAAATATTAAGAACTCTTCCATATACAATAAAAGACATATATGCAAGACAGTATCTAACCCCCAAATGCTCATTCTCCAGGTTTAGTTAAGTGCCTTAGGAATAGTGAAGCCATAGGGCTATGCGAGAAGAGACAGAAATGAGAAGACAGAGGCTATGGTTGTTGCCTTGGCCATATCCTAATTATTCTGAAGAGTAAGAAGATGAGATGTTAAAGTCTAATTGGACCGCTCTTAGGTAGTCAGGCAGAAGTTTAAGAGTCCAGGACAACAGCTTTTCCAGCTGAACTCTAGAGGTCTCAGTCCTCACCAATGAGGGACATCCTCAAGAAAGCAAAATAATGAATACAGCACAATGTTACAGACCAGAAGTTTTATTTATTGTGATGCTGGCTTGCTTCCAAGGGAGTATACCCTACTCAGTACTTGAAGTCAGATCAGATATTTTCAACTCCACTTATTTGTACTGGTTGGACACAAATTAGTAGGAAGACTCATCAATGACCTATCAAGTACATGAAGAAAAGCTAAAATATTTTAAGAAAATTAACTTGGGCAATAGTGACCAAGAAATGGTAACTTTCTAAAACGACTGTTTAGTTGCTATGAGCCAACATTCATCAAGTTCTTACTAAATGTTAGTTATTATTTTAAGCACATTTAGAAATATTTGCTCATCAAATCCTCACAAACCCTATGGAGTGTTTTTATCTCATTTCTAGGAATGAGCAAACTGAGGGACAGAGAAATAAAAGGATTTACTCAAGGACAGAGCTAATGAATGGCAAGGCTGAGGTTTTATGAGACTGACGTGCTACCTACTGCGCTAAGGAGGCACCTAAGGCTGATGTTTTAATCCATTAGTCTACATAAACTATTGTAACCACTATGTAACGTTGCCTCCCATTTATATATTTACCCACTAGAAGTCCCTCTTCTGTTAGAAACTCCACAGAGGTCCTCTTCTATTCAAGGTCAAAGCCAAAGTGCTTACAATGGTCTACAAGTCCCTCTGAGCTCTAGCTTCCCATCACCTCTCTAAAACGTAATCCATGCTGGGGTGCCTGGGTGGCTCAGTCAGTTAAGCATTCAACTTCGCCTCAGGTCATGATCTCACGGTTCGGTTCGTAGGTTCAAGCCCTGCATCTGGCTCTGCGCTGACAGCTCAGAGCCTGGAGCCTGTTTCAGATTCTGTGTCTCCCTCTCTTTCTGCCCCTCCCCTCTGTCTCCATCTCAAAAATAAGTAAACATTTAAAAAAATAATAAATAAAACATAATGTATGTTGACCCAATGCATTCACCTTGCTTTTCCTGGATCACACAAGACTTGAACGTACCTCAGAGCCTTTTTATCTGCTGTTCCCACTGCCTGGAATATTCTTCCCCAAGACAGTGGAGGTTTGCTCCCTCATTGCCTTCAGAGCTCCACACAAATGTCACTTCCTCAGAGAGGCCTCTCCTGACTACTTTTCCTAATATAGTACTCCCCACCCTTTTTATACTTAATTATAACCACTTGCAGTGTGTTGTGTTTTTCTTTTTGTTTTTTTTTTTTTTTTTTACCTAACTCCACCATCTAGACTATAAACTGCATGAGAGGCAGGGACATTTAGAAGTTTGGCTTTGTACCACTTGTGCCTAAGACAGCACCTGGCACAAACCAGACAAGACTTGAATTTAAAAATCTGCCGCATATGCTCTGATTCACAACCCAGTCATAAAACTTTAGGTAACCATTCCTGACCCTGTACTAATAAAATCCAACCCCCTCCCACAAAAATGCAGTGTTTTAGAACATTTTTTGTGGTAAAATTTGATCTTCCTTAATGTGTATATTTTCATGCCTCCTTTAAAAGGTTAAGTTTCTTTGGAATGACTGATTTCTATAAACTTTACTACACCAAACAAAACAAAACAAAAACTGTTAGAAGTGTAACTTTATAAGTGTGTTCTGAAGGGGAAAATAACTCCAAGTTGCCAATGGATGCCTGTCCTTCAAGGGAAAATGAAATTCTTTTTTTTTTTTTTAAGGTTTATTTTTTAGTAATCTCTACACCCAAGGTGGGGTGTGAACTCACAACCCCAAGATCAAGAGTTGCACGCTCTTCCAACTGAGGCAGCCAGGCACCACAGAAAATGAAAATTCGTAAATGCTCTGACTTAATACTGCAATATAAGTAAATAATGCATATCAAACTTTACGCTTCAGTGTTCAACTTACACAAGACTAATTTCCAAGCTACAGCTAGATAATAACTTTCTAACTATTAGTACCTCAAAGTTTGCCTGTTTGTTTCGTGGTTTTTACAAAAACAAAGAGTAAAAAACAGATTTTTAAAAAACTTTTCATTTTATTTGGGTCATTTTAGAACACACATATTTGTTTTGTTGTTAACAGAGCAGTAAGTCACGGGACACCATTAGCTCTTCTTCCATAAATTAAATGCTGCCTAGGAGGGGAGGGAAGAGGAAAAAGAGAGGCAACAAACGCAAAAGAACAAGTATTTGCCAAAAGACGGATTTTGTAAGAAGGCGGACCACCTCCTTCTGAACCTGCAGGTTTCCAGGAGGCTGGTTTCAAACAATTCGAGAGCGATGGGTAAAGTCCAACTCTCCAAGTACTGTAGCAGATCATCCGGAAACAAATACTGGCGGCACTTGGGGGGTGATCGAAAGTGTAGTAGGGCCCCCTCCGTCCCACTCATATCAAGTATCTCCACGCCACTCACCTTCCGTTTTAGCTGAGCACAAATCACATCCCTGCTTTAACCAGAAAAGTCAGAGGGAGTCGGACATCCCTCCCTAAACATACACAAACCATTCGCCCCAGGGCTGTAAAACGCAGTCCACGGAATCCGGGAAAATCAAAACCCGACAGTCGCTGGAATCTCTCGCTTCAAGTTCTCTCCGCTTTCTGAGGCTGAGCCCAGATGAATGCCACAGGGACAGAGCGGGGAGGAAGGGGGCATCTCCCCCTTACCTTGATGGCTTTCTCCATGTCGTTCTCCTCGGACATGCTCCGTGGGGTCTCTACGGCCGGGAGCGGCGGAGGCTGCGCAAGTGCCGGGTCCCACCGCAGCCGAGGGTGCGAGGAGCTCGGCGCTAGGGCCCCTGGGCCTCGGGGAGACCGGCAGCCGCCGCCCCCAGGGACCGGAGGGGATGAGGGCCCTGGCGCCGGCTCGGCTTCGGCGGGCGGCTCTAGGCTGGCGGCGGCGGCCCCCGGGGACAAGCCTTTGTGCTGGGCCCCGCGCGGACGCCTCCCGGCTTCATCCCCAGCCGGGGAGGCAGGCTCCCGGGGCAGGGCGAGGCGGGGAGGGTCCCCGTCCGGGGCGCTGTGCAGAGGCCTCGCGGGGCCGCCGATTAGGCCCGGGCTCGCCAGGTCCTAATGAGGAACCTGCGCCTCCGTCTCCGCCGCCGGCACCTCCGCGAAGCCAAGGCCGAGCCCGCCGCCGCCGCCGCTGCCGCTCCCGCTGCCGCTGCCGCTTCAGCGCCACACATCGCCGGGACACCCGCGCCGGGCAGCCCCGCCGGCCGCCCGCCCGCCGGCGCTGTGCCCCGCCTGAGCTCCGGGCCGCCCCTCCGGCCGCCCGACTCCGTGCCCCCACGGCTCCACGCACCCCTCGCCGACGTCCGCTGGGGTTTCCGAGCGCCCCCAAACCACGCAGCTGATTCGCAGGCGTCCGCCAGGGCCTCCCCAAGCAGCGCCACACTCGGGACAGGCCCCCGGGCCCTCCGCAACGCTGGCGCCGTGCTGATGACGTAATGGGTCGGGGGCCCCGACGGGGCGGGGCCATTGGTGTACACCACCTGATTCGAGCGGCGTTCGGGTTCTCTCTCTCCGCTCCCGGTGCGGGCCAGAAGGTTCGTCCCGCCGGTAACTGCCCGCGCGGAGGAGCCGGGAGTTTGGGCTCGAGATGAGCAAGAGGAAACAGAGGTCCCCGGCAGGTCCAGAGGTAAGAGAACAGAGTTGTGTGTAATAACAGCAATAATAGTTGTATATTCGGAGGGTTAACTTTACGTAAAGCTCTTTTTCTCCATCAGTTTCTTTCTTCTTTACGAAGTAAGCATTTGACGCTGCGAGGTAAGTATGTTCTTATCCCCCGTTTGCAGATTAGGTAACTAAGTCTCAGAGAATCGAACTCACTTGCCATAGCTGAGACGTGGTCAGGTCAGAATTGGACGCCAAGTTTGTGCTCCTTCCGCTACACCAGCAACCTACCGGAGGGCCTTGTAGAAGCTTTTGGCTGATCACCGCTTGGTGGTTCTTCATTCGTTCACTTAGATAGTGAGCGGCATCTGTACCAGGCCTACTCAACACTTGGGAAGCAATAGGATCAAGAGCCCGTCCTTGCTCAGTGGCTCTCACTTTCAGGAGAGCTAAGCAGCAAATGAACAGGAGACAGCACTGAGTTTGTAGATGCTAAGAAGAAAGTGAACAGGATGCTGAGGTAAGAGAATAACTGGTTGTGGGGACTTTTCCTAGTAGATGATCAGGGAAGGTCTCCCATGAGGTAACATTGAAGCTGAGACCTCTGAGGAATGAGAAGGAGCTGTCTGTTGGAAATCTGAGGAGGAGATTTCTGGGCATATGGAACAGCAAGTGCAAAAATCTTAAGGCGGAAATAAGCTAAATAATGTTCGAGGAGTAGCAAAAAGTTCGTTGTAGCTGGAGCAGATGGAGTAAAAGGACAGAACGATAAAGGATGAGACTGGAGAGGTGGACAGGGCTGTATCATACACCTTGAGGTTCATAGTAATGACTTTGAATTTTATTTTATGTCACTGAAAGATTTTAAACTGAAGAGTGATGTGATCAAAGTTATGTTTCGAAAGATCACTCTGCTAGATAGAGAACTATGGGCAAGCAAGAGTGGAGACATGGAGAGCTATTAAGAGGTGATTGGAACAATCCAGATGAGAGATTATTTGATACTCGAACTAAGGAGGTAGCAGCAAAGATCGGGTAGATGGATTTACGGTATGTTTTGGGAGTACAGTTGCCGGTATTTCCTGAAGGATTCAACGTAGAAAGTAAGAATAAGAAATGAATCAAGAATAACTTCCAGGAGTCTGTCTTCAGCAACCGGATGGATGATGGTGCCATTCAGTGAATGAAAGGTTTGATGAGGCTGAGGGTGGGGAATCCACAGGTTTTTTTCTGTCGAGGTTAATTTGAGGGTTTTGTGCGCTATCCCAGAGGATAAGTCAAGTTGTGGTGCAGACCTGGTTGTCATCTTTATTGGCCATATGCCTACAGTACATTCCTCAGCCCCCTAAAGTAGGTGTGGCCATGTGCCTGTGCTCTCCCCAACGGAAAGTGTACAGAAGAGATGTGCCCAGTTTCCAGGCTTGGCCCAGAAAATTCGTCAACAGGTGCTCCTACTTACCCTGCCAGCTGGGCGATTCTGGTTCTGGAGAAGGCACAGCCTCAAGATGGAAGATTCCTAAGTGGAGAACATTTGCCCCCATTGACCTATATGTCCACCCAGGACTGTTGTATGAGAAACAGAAATAAACCTTTATTGTTTTGAGCTTTCATGTATTCGAGTCTTTTTGTAATAGCAACTTTGCCTGTGCTGCCTGTAATCCAATTAAGAACACTGATCCATCAGTGAACATTGGGAGGAAATTTCTAAATGAATTGATATTATGCATAACAGGAAATCAAAGATGCCTTGGTTTTATTCATTCATTGATTGAGTAGTAATTTATCGGGTGCCTCTCTGTGCCAGGCACTGTGCTACATAATAAAGATGCAGAGATGAAGAAGAGAGGTCCGTAGCCTCAAACACTGAGTCTGGCAGCTTAACTTCTCGACCATTACCTACCTATGCTTTCCCTCTCCCCTCCCAACACACACACACACACACACACACACACACACACACAGCCTAATTTGTACAAGTTCTTTTTTTTTCTTACATATTCTTCAGCCACATTCTTCTTTTTTTTTAATGTTTATTTATTTTAGAGAGACAGAGAGAGAGAGAGAGAGAGAGACAGGATCTGAAGCAAACTAGGCTCTGAGCTGTCAGCACAAAGCCCAACATGTGGCTCAAACTCACGAACCATGAGATCATGACCTGGGCCAAAGTCAGCCGGTTTAACCAACTGACCCACCTAGGTGCCCCTCTTCAACCACATGCTAAATACCACTTTATCAGGAAGACAGGATTAAGTCTTGTCCCCAGTCTAAATCAGATATTCCTATTGTCTCATAACTTACTTCCTTATACTTATCTCGTAGTTTTTATTTATATATTTATTGTTTCTTATTCTTTAGTGGTCTCTCTCCAACTAGACTGTAAATAATCTCAAGGGACAGAATCTTATTTGTATTATTGACCACATCCTCAATACTCAGCCCACTGCAGATATTTAATAAATATTTGCTGAAGGAATCAATGAATGGAGAAGGCAGAGCCCAAAGGAGAGGTTTCCTCCATTTTTTTGCTGGGGAAATGGCTGTGGTAGTAAGCCTCTAAGGTAGTCATCAGTGATGCCTACCCCTTGGTATTCATGGTCTTGTGTAATCCCCTCACCCTGCTTGAAGGATCTAATGACTTGCTTCTAATAATGGGATGTCATGTCCGAGATTACGTTACAGAAGGACTTTGGCTTCTCTCTTGGGCACTCTCTTACTCTCTTCTTCATTTGCTCTGAAGGATGCCAGCTCAAATGTGAGTTACTTTATTTGTTTCCTGGGGCTTTCATAATAAGTTCCCACAAACTGGGTGGCTTAAAACAAACACATTTATTTTCTCACAATTCTAGATGCCAAATGTCTGAAATCCGTATGTTGGGAGGACCATGCCCCCTCTAAAGGCTCTAAGGTTCAATCCTTTACCTCTTCTACCTTCTGGTGGCTCCCGGCAGTCCTTGACATTCCTTGGCCAATAGGGAATGTATTACTCCAGTATCTGCCTCTGTCTTCACATATTCTTCTCTGTGTCCTCTCCTCTTAGGAGGACACTAGTCATTGGATTTAGGGCCCACCTTAATCCAGTATAGTTTTTATCTTAATTACATCTACAAAGAGGTCAAGATTCTGAGGTTCCATGTAAACATGAATTTGGAGGGGAGGATACTAATCAGCCCACGATAGTTGCCCCGTTATAGGAGTCTACATATCAAGGAACTAATGTCTTTTGCCAACTGCCAGTGAGAACGCAAGGCCTGCCAAAGACCACATAAATGACCTTAGAATGGATCCTTCCTTATTTGAGCCTTGAGATGATTGCAGCCTTCTTGCCAGGAAGAGGCACCCAGCTAAGCTGTGTCCAAATTCCTGACCCACAGAAACTAAGATAAAAAAGGTTTTTAGGGCACTAAGTTTGGGGGTGATTTGTCATGCAGCATAGATAACTAATACGGATTTTGGTGCCTGGAAGTGGGAGGCTGCCATGACAACTACCTATAATGTGGGAGTCGCTGAGAACCAGACAGTGCACAGAGGCTGGAAAGATTTTGAGGAGTGAGTTAGAGAAAGCTTAAATTATCTTGAACAAACTGAACTTTGAGATGAACTATCTGAAATCTGAACTTTGAAGATGCTATGAATTAAGGCTGAAAAGGAAGTAAGGAACGTTTTTGGAAACTGGAGGAAAGAGGATCCTGGTTTTGAAGTAGCACAAGGTTTGGCAACACTGACATCGGCAATTGTGTGGAAGGAACTAATGTTCCCAATGAAGTTGGTGATCTCGTAAGGCAGTTTCCAAGCAGGAGGTGCTGCCTGGTTTCTTCTTGCTCCTTGTAGTACAACATGAGAAGAGAAGCAGATTATTAAACAGGAAGGAGCCAGGACTTGCTTGTTTTGAAATTTTTAGTCTCTCTAGATGGCAGCCAGTGCTAAAATTTAGCAGTGGCTGTGAAGCAAGGATCAAATCCAGAGCACTGTAAGGAAAATGTGGTCTGTCTTAGTTCAGGTTGCTGTAACAAAATACCTGCCCCCACCAAATTCAATTCCTTGCAGGCAAAATACATTCATTCCATTTCAACAGCCTCAAAAATTAAGCCTCCTACATCAGCTCCAATGTCCAAAGGATGTAAATATCTAAATCAGATGTGGATGAGACTATAGGTGTGATGCATCTTGAAACAAAATTCCTCTTTAGCTGTGGACCTGTGAAATCAAATAAGTTAGTTACGTGCTTCCAAAATACAGTGGTAGCACATGTGTAGGATAGCCGTTCCCATTCCAAAAGGGAGAAATCAGAAGGAGGAAAGGGGTGCTGGGTCGCAAGCAGGTCCAAAACCTAACAACGCAAATACCAGTAGATTTTAAGGCTGGAAAATAATCTTCTTTGGTTTGATACACTCTCCTCTGGACCCACTGGGGTTGTAGCCCTGCCACCAAACCCCAGATGAAGCCTCTCTAGCCTGCTGG